TATATATATATACATATATATATATGTATATATATATATACACATATATATATATAACATATATTACATATATTACACTTATTTTCTTTTTTTTTTTTACACCGACGATGAATCAGCATTTAATTATAATCCTAACAATACTAGCATATAATGCATGAAATCCGATAAATGTAACAACTTGAGCGTTGTTGTCCCGAGTTCGCTGAAGACATACTTTACACGTACAAGTACATTTATTATAGAATTAAAACTTTTGCCCTGGAGCCCGGGTGCGCATAAAAACACTATATGACACCAGTAATTCAGTTTTGGCACTAGCAGTAAAAATGACATCCTATATACTATATTTTGCATTTAATTTTACTACATATGCTGCATTTATACTTCAGTCAATAAAGAGTGACGTGAATCTTGAACGTTGACATCATTTTTCATTCTGTAGAAAAAAAAAAGTGGAGATCTATCTCTGGGCGGTAAAAAAAAAAAAATTAATCACCATGCACACATATTATTATGATTATGTGTTGAACTCTCACAAATGTCTCCTTGATTGCCCTTTAAAAATGGGCTTCACGTGTCTTTTTCAGACTCGACTCACCAAGTCGTCCCCTATGCATATCATGATACCTCAGGGTTTAGGTCTCCATTGGAAGCCGCCGGAATTGCACAGGAAGACAGTAAAATGCCACTGCCCTCTGTAGGCGGAGAGAGGGAACTGACATCTGCGAGGTTGTCACTGCAGATGACTTCACTCGTCCGTCTTCATCCGCCTGCCTAATGATGTCAAGTTCACACGTTTATTCAATGCTAAAGCAGAGTGACAGCTGCCGTCGCTGACTGCAGGGACACAGTAACTGTTTTATTTTTAAGGCAAAAGAAAACAGAAAAGACTGATGTTTGGGGGGAAAGGAGGTCGTAAGATAAAATTCCTCACTCATATTCACTCATCTTTGACGCACACTTTATTGATTAGCACCAAAGGACAGCAGTGGGCACCAGTCCAGCCTGGGCTGGGATTTAGACCGGCAACCTTTGACTTCCAAGCCTGAAGGTTTATGGACTATTTGATTCATCGATTCCTCCTCTGTTTACCAAGCATTCAAAGCATTTAAAAACATAAAATTCTTCGGGAACTAAAGGACACTACTTTATTCTCCTTATTGTTCTTCTGTATAAAAACTCGAGCTGTTGTTTGATTCTACTGTTCATGTTACGCCAGACAATGGAACTTGACAAGACAAATCATAAACTAACCAGCATTTATATCTAAACTTTTATGGTGGGTGCATTTAGAGGTCAAAGGGCACTCGACCCAATTTTGACTTTAAGCTTTACAGTTGTGTGTGTGTGTGTGTGTGTCTCCTGTCTACCTCAGACACACGGAGGCAGATGAGCATGTCATACAGCACTGTTTCTGCTACACCTCAACGGTCCTCACTTCAACCTTGGCTTTTCAGAAAGAACAGAAGCTCAAAGTGGAATGTCAGGTACAGACTCACATGGTTCACTGAATCCCCCCCGCCACCCCNNNNCACCCCAACCCCTCATCCCACCCCGGCCCAACCTCCTCACCCATACATACACACAAACTCTGAATGCAAAAATGTTACTCTGAGGTCTATTTCACGGTATCGATCTTTGTCGCCCTAGGCACTCTTACAAGTGGCCAAGAATCTCTTCACGCACTTGGGTAATGTTTTTTTTTTTTTTTTTTTCTATTATTTCTATCTGTCAGTCATCTATCTTTTTTCTCTGTGTGTATATTTGATCTCTCTGTCTAGTTCAACTCTCACTCTCTGTCATTTCCTGTCTGTGTTAGTAGGAGGGCAGAGAATGATTTGCGTTAATAGACATATTTAAGTGATCGCCCAATGAAACCAATGATGCTTGTAATTGAATGACTTATTACCCAACCCAAAAGGTGATTACACCCCGGATCATAACCATAAACTCCAGAGCCCATTAAAGGCTGTGTCCCCCCCCTTCACTGTCCTATAATTACACCGAGGCATTTAGATTCCAATAGAAAAGCAGCAAAAAAAAAAAGCAGAAAGAAAGTCACCAATGATTCATCATGAGTCGCCACTCCAGGATCTGATTCACCGCCACCGGTGGTGTCATCGTCCTTTCTGTAAATCAGGGCTTTGCACCGTTTCTTTTTTCTGTTTTTTTTTTTTTTCTGTTTCGTCATTAGCCCACCCTCATCCCCCCCTTTTTCCTCTATTTTTTTCAGATGACGTGTCAGTGCTGCTACAGGAAATTATAGTGGAGGCCAGGAACCTCAGTGGTGCAGAGATGTAAGCTCTCCGATTCATCTTCACAGTAATTTGCGGTGTGCATGTATGCACGTATTTGTGTGTTTCTGTGTGTGTCTGTGTATGTAAAGGGTAAAATTACTTTAGCTCTTTTTGCTCTTTTTGTTCTTCAAGCCACATAATTTCACTTTTTGTAAATATTGCCCGTAGTGAATGGCGACGTCTAATCTTTAACCAAATTTAAATGGAAAGCAGTGAAAACATTTGTGCCTTTGAAGGAAAAAAAATAAATTGAACTATTATTAAGGAACTCAATTATTTTAGTATTTATACATTTATTTATATTACTTATATTTTTTTAGCTGCTCTGTGTTCCTGCTGGACCGTCTCAGTCATGAGCTGGTGGCGAAGGTGTTTGACGGGGGCGTGGTCAGCGATGAAGAGGTATGACACGCTGCTTTGTGTATTTTCCTCTGGTTTTCCTCTGATCTCCTATGATTGGCTGATGAATAGGAGGACAGATTGCATGTTGTAGAAGAAGTGAATAGTGATGTTCGATACCACCAATTTCATTTCCGATCCGATACCGAGTAAAATTCGGGCTGGTATCGCCGATACCGATATTTTATCATTTGTCTTTTAAATTAAAAAAAAGTGTATTTCAAAGCACGGCTTCTTTAAGAATCCAAGGCAGAGTATTTTTATTCATTTATTTATTTTAAACTCTGGAGTGTACTGAGGTAGCTGCCTCATTTACTATACAGTCAACACAACAATAGAAAAAACTGAGAACACAATCATATAAAATATGTCAAAACAACGTTTCAAACTCTGAAAACATGTTATTTGTAAAACAAAAATAAATAAATAATAAAATAAATAATCTGAGGAGCCATTTGGGACCCGAAAGAGTCGGATTTTTTTCAGTGAACCGAGCCAAAAGAACCGGTTCTCTAAAAAAAGAGCCGAAATTCCCATCAATAGTGACGCATGACGCACACACACCCAGGCGGAAGAAGAAGTAGTCCCACCAACCGAGCGTCACTTAGACAACATCTTAATCATTTGGATACTTTTCACCATGTTTCTGTTTAGGATACATCTCATCTCAGAATGCGTAGGTATCAAAAGTATCGATATTTTGATTTCAGAATCGCATAAAGATCCAGAATCGGAAGTATCGCTATTTCAGGATCGATCCGCACATCACTAATTAGCAGGCTTCTTTATAGGCTCTACATCGTGATTTTCGAGCGCAGTGCTATGAACTATTGACACGGTTCGTATTCTCAGCACTGGAAACTTCTTGAAACACAGAAATTCGTTTTTATTCAGAAACCCCGTCTTCCGGCTGTACCGACACAGGAGAAACACAGGAGGTATTTAACAAAAGATGCCGCTAATACTGTGCCAAGCTGCTTACGTTTTTCATGACTTCAAGCTATGTTTGTTTTGCTCACCACAAAACCCGCTCTTTTTAACTGACATCAATGTCAGTTGGTAAATAACGAAATCCTTGATCCCAGCTCAAGTGTCCATAAAGAAAATCTCTGATTTAATCATGGCTGTCGTATAATATATTGTACTATATTGACTATATTGACTGGTGTTTGGAAGCATTTCCAGTCATGGAGATTTTAAATAATAGCTTTAAAAAAGTGGAGATTTAAGGAATGAAGTTGTGCTAATATATAATCAATTTTTTATTTTACTCCTCAAATGGTGTTTTTGTTGAGAGCAAGTGCCTTGGATCAGGTACAGATTTGGGTCGGGCACATTTACTTTAACGCTGACTTTGTGTGTGTGTGTGTGTGTGTGCAGAAAGAGTTCCGTATCCCGGCGGACCAGGGCATCGCGGGTCACGTGGCAACCACGGGTCAGATCCTGAATATCAAGGACGCCTACTCCCATCCGCTCTTCTACAGAGGTGTGGACGACAGCACCGGCTTTAGAACCCGCAACATCCTGTGTTTTCCCATCAAGGATGAGAACAACGGTAAATGAGACAATGACAATGAAACATGCACAAAAAACTGTCGTATTGATATTGAAACATTTGAAGGATACGGCACATCAAAGGCCAGAGGTTTCACATAAACAGGTGCCACCAGGATAGAATGGATAAAATGTTAAGAAAGTAGGACATTTAAAAGTAACGACAATTTAGTGTAGTAAAAATAATAACCTACAGTAAATTGAATTGAATGAAATTAAATTATTCAAGTAGTTCATAAATTCATTTAATATATAATTTATATATATATATGTATGTTAGGGCTTACCATCTTAACGCATTACTAGCTGGTATCTCGTTACCTAATTAACGCAAGAATTATTCATTATCCCGCGTTAACGCAGTGTTTTTTATGATTGTAAACCTCTGTTTCTCACCAACTTTTATTTTGAAAAAATATATAGCTTTCTGCTGCGGCAATCACAGAAACCGAGAAGAAAAGAACAGGTCTTTCGCAGAACATACGTCCTAGCAACTGTTACTATGTAAACCAGGTGCTTCATGACGAACGCTCGTGACAAAAGCAAAATGGTAAAGCAATGTGCCTAGCAGGTACATTAGCTGTTTGTTTTGGAAATAGAAAGGGAAAGGAAATGATTCAGTCAACGCAACAGAAAGGGACAGAGAACTGTTCATCCACGTTTCTTCATTTCCCATAAAGCTAACGGCAGATACAGTATGAACACGGCTATTCGCGATTAGCACTAGGACCTGGCGCTAACACCGTCATCATTGGTGTAAACAGCAGCATAAACTGTTGCATTGCCGGCATAAACACCGGTGAAATCCAGTTTATCCCTTTATAGGGCCCTCATTGAAATAATTCAAAAAATTATCCTCAGACTATTATTGGAGAACATCACAGGATTTAGTGACTGTTACAGTGGAAAATCAAGGTCAATGAACTAACCATACTTAGTTACCTGTCCACCTGTGGTGAACCAGATCTTTGATGATTGTCGGGGGGGGGAGATCACATGATTTTTAAACCCACTGAGATGGAGAATGGGCATGATGTATAACATGTGAGGAAATGACCAAAATGTCGTGGATGAAAGCAACATGTTTCTGCTGTTACCTCAGATATCGCCTGTTTTAATGTTATGATTATGGATCAGGATTTTATAGACACGTTTTTTTTTTTTTTTTTTTATGTAACAGACAGAACAACACTAATGCTGCAGCAGTGGCAATTACCTTTATCATTTCGTTGTATTTGTACTTTGATTATATTGTTTAAGATGAGATTTAAACTATCCATCCATCCATTTTCATCCGCTTATCCGTTACCGGGTCGCGGGGGCAGCAGTCGCCACCCAGTGTGATTTGGGTGGCCAAAGCGCCACAGATTTAAACTAAATATTTATTTATTTATTTATTTAACTGCTGCAGTAGAGAAAATGCTGAAGCTAAAAGTGTTTGGACAACAAATGTTGGGGCAGTTTCGTTGATATGAATATATGGAATTATTCACGATTAAAATGGAATTATCTAATTACAGTGGAACCTCGAGATACAAGCATAATCCGTTCCGGGATTGAGTTCGTAACTCGAGGTACTCGTGTCTCGAATAATTTTTTTTCCCCATAAGAAATAACAGGAAGAAAAAAAATGAATCCGTTCCGGGCATTTATTAGTGCTAATAACAATGGGAAAAAACATGTTTTTAATTGCTTGAGACATAAAATTTTTAATTTTTAATCTTTGCCCAACCTTAATATAAATAATTTTAAAAAGTGTCATATTTTTTAAAAAGCTCAACTGGCACCTCTTGAAAATCAAATTAAACTTTTTTTTAATTTTTTTTAATTTAACCAAACTGGATGGAAACCTGTTGAAATTATTAAAACTTTTGCCAAACATGCAATGAAGATTATCGACTATGTTGTGTTGTGCTCTCTTCTCTTTTTTGGCGTACCCATAGTGTGTTAAAAGATAACATTCTGTGGCCCAAAAAGTCGTGGAACCTTGACTTTGATGTCACCTGACTAATGGCTAACACTCACAGTGATTTGTCTCCATATGAAAAAGGAGACGGTCTGTAGCCCAGAGTGAGAGTTAACATCTTTTCATGTGCACTTAACTTCAGCCGCTGAGCGGAAATGAATTTAGTATAGCGGACCTATTACACTCCACATCTGTTGCTGCGGCCAATTTTCTTGTCCTTGGTTTTCTTTCATCAAGCGCTTTCTTTGAACTTTTGCTATCATCGGCTTTCATGTTTCCTCCATCGTGCCTTCATCTCACATTTCCCCAGCGTCTGTCCTCTTTTAACCTTATATTTAAAAAAAAAAAAAAGTGTATATTTAAGTATGTACTGCATGTATTTCTGTAGAAGTGATCGGCGTGGCAGAGTTGGTGAATAAGATGAATGGTCCGTGGTTCAACCGCTTTGATGAGGATCTGGCCACAGCCTTCTCCATCTACTGTGGCATCAGCATCGCTCATGTGAGTCTCTTCTACAACCCAAAGACTTTTGATACCATAGACCACACATGTCAAACTCAGCCATTTTGTGTGGCCTGCGGGAGCATAAAAAGCATTTAGCATAAAAGTCCATGCAACAATATTTGTAGCTTGAATAAATAATAATCAATTGCAGAAACAGGTATTAGTCTGTTATGGAGTAGTTACATCTATACCAGCGGTCCCCGACCTTTTTTGTTCCAAGAACTGACTCACCTTATTTTAAAATACTGCCAGATTATCTTTAAATAAATTTAAAAAAAGTAAATGGATATGACTGGATTTCCTTTGAATGAAGTAAATTAGTAAAAAATTAAGTATATTTTTTTTTTCCTTGTGTCCCACTGCAATGCCTGCATTTTCCCTATAGATGGTGCAGAGAAGGCATTTTAGCATTTTAGCCTTTATGCATGACTTTTTACATGTCATTTATCTTAGTTCACAGTAGTAGGAGAACACTCCAGCTTATCAGAGTTTTAGTCAAAAAGAACAATTGTGACAATGTCTTTATAACCTTTACCTTTCCATTTTCATCATCATAATTTCCAAAACAGACATTCTGCTCTATACCAAAATCAGAAATACTTTATTGATTGCACTTAAGTGCAGAAAATATTTAGAGAATATAAAACATTTAACAAAGAAATACGTAAAAAAAGAAAGAAATTTAAAAAAAAAGAAATTTTAGAGCAATGGTGGCTTGGTGGTTAAAGTTCGAGTCCACCAGATGCCAAGTTGCAAATGAGGTGCACTGCCCCCCCGGGGTGCCTGGGCTGCCCCCTACTTACTTTGGTCATGGGTAATTACAGTTGTAATTAACAGTATCAATAGTGCTTGTTTGTGTGAAGTCCAGCATTTAAAAACATGCTTAATAAAACAATAAACCATCAAACTTTTCACAACGCAGTGGATAATTGATAACGAATTTATAGAAACTTAGCAACTTAGAAACATAGCAACTCACATTCACAACGAGGAGCTCATTTAGCTTCCGACCTTGAAAGTTTATCCACAACCATAGCTTCATCCATGAAGATATTTGAATAGAAGAATAATTGCCTCCGGAGCAGCTCATCCATAATTTAATCCTGACCAAAATGTATTATTTATTAGCCCTTGCTCTGTGTCGTGGTGTACAAGGTTGTGGACAGTAAAAAAAAAAGAAAAAAAAAATTCCTTAGAGCATGTGATAATATTAACTGCATTCATGCTCATGGAGTTTTAGTCTTTGAAACATGTTTGAAACATGTAAAATGCGTTACTTGTGTGAAAGCTCTGTGGGAATAAAAACACACTTTGACTTTCCTTTGTTGATGAATACACAGAATCAGATTTAGGTGATTTTTTTTTTTTCTTTTTGTTATTATTTTTATTATTTTTGGGCCAAAAAAATGAATTATCCAAATAAGTCAAATACAGTATTTTAAAAACTTTTTCAATTTTTTTTTTTTTTTAAATAATTGCAGCAGAAACACAATGCAAAATAGATACCAGGATCAATGTCAGACAAGTGTGAGAAGAGGTGTTCAGTCTTGTAAACAGCAGATCCACTGCAACAGGCTGCCACTTGGAGGCGCCAAGTACGTGGTAAAAGCCCAAGAAGAGAAAGAAATTACAATGATTTTACTTTTGATAACCAAAAAAAAAACTATTTATTTCTCTATGTTTAATCACATTTGCAAGCTTTGAAAATTTTCCTACATAGAGTTTTAGCCTTGCAATACATACACGTTTTTTAGTTTTTTTTACAAAATTAAACTTTCATAATTCTCAGGTTTAAAAAAACGTAACGATACAAAACATCACGTAGCTTCAAACTTCAGACATAAGAATGAAACTTCTCGATGAGGAGACGCTGAGGGCCAGCGTCTTTATTATTAAAATCAGATTGCATAGAACACAAAGTCAAGATCCCTACTACGAAAATAAATGTCACAAATAAAAAAAAAAAATTTTGTTGTTGTTTTTTACGAAAATAAATGTCATAAATTAAAAAAAAATATCGTTGTTTTTTTTTTTTTTTGTAGTCGTTGCTGTACAAGAGGGTCCATGAGGCTCAGTTCAGGTCCCACTTGGCCAATGAGATGATGATGTACCATATGAAGGTAAGATCCACATCATCCTTACAAACATGCGCTTTATGTTAAACAGTCTTGGAGAGAAATTCAAATGCTGAATACTGGTGAGTATTGTTTTCCAGCTGCAGAGTGAAATCAAATCGTATTTGATGTGTGCGCACTGGCAAACTGCCCTGCTTGTACCAGACGACTGCCCCCGGTGACACTGAAAAAGATTCAGCGGCGCGAGATGAACGGATAAAAGCATCGACTCGGTTTTTGAGATGCGCGTCAGTATGCGCTCAGTGCGACTTTAGTGAGTATTTGTTCCTTCCCCTGGCAGGTGTCAGAGGAGGAGGTGACAAAGCTGCTGGTAATAGGCATCGAACCGGTGAAGAAGATTCACCCGTGCTACGCCGAGTTCACGTACACCCCGCGCTCCCTGCCCGATGACACCACGCCAATGGTAAGACGAGACAGAACCGACAGATCACAGACGCGGGGTGTGTATGAGGTCTGCGAGACTCACGGTGAACTGTGTGTTTTTTTTTTCCTGCAGTGTGTCCTCAGCATGTTCGAAGATATGGGATTCATCAACACCTACAAGATTGACATGCACACACTGGCCAGGTCTGACAACACACTGAATGTAACATCATGTGACACCAGGGTGTTGGTGTCCTTCAGTTCAGGCCCTGGAGCTGTGCTGTGTGTTATTGTAGACTCCATTATTCTTCGTTGTTTTGTTGTTGCTCAGTTTCAACTATCCAACACGCACACCTCAAAACCTTGAAAGAATTAGACATAAGCAGCTCTAAGGCCACCTGTCCACTCAGGATATTCTTTCATTCACAAATCCAGTGACAGCAAATTGTGTGTGTATAATTGATCGTTTTGAGATTGTAAACTGTAAGTGCTGCCTATACATGTACAATTTTTTTTTTTTTTCTTTTCACAAATTGGGTGGGAATGGCCTATATTCAGGTGCGCTCAATATTACTATATTATTATTATTAAATTGCGGTAAATCTATAGCCAAATAGCTGATCTGCTTTAACAGGCAGAAAAAATATATATATAATGGGGGATGAAGATGATTGATGATTGATTAATCATTGATTAATTAATGATTAATGATTGATGCAAACCAAGATTATTCCAAAATGGCTAGAGCCAACTAATTCTGACATCTTTTTAACCTTTTCCTTTCCATTTCATGATCATAATTTCCCAAACAGACATACTGGTCTACACAAAAATCCAAATCAGAAATACTTTATTGATGCCACATAATTTGAAATTATGATATATATATATATATATATATATATACATATATATATATATATATA